GAAAGCAGCTGAAGCTGATTCAGACTGACAAACAGTTTGGAACCATAGGTCATTTCCCTCTCAGCCGTTTTGTGTGTTTTGTTTTTTAATGAAAGACTTTGCTTGGGTGCCAAAGGGTAATGGGGCTTCGGATTTAAACCACTTGAAAACTGATTTCTGACACACAGTACTAAAATAGAAAAGCAGCCAGTGTATTTGCCCTTGATATCCTGATCAAAAGCACCCATCCTTAGGCAAAGTATGTTACAAGAACAGTCAAGTACAAACTGTGCTAAGGACTTTTGGCGCTATCGCAATCCTTAACTATTTCAGCTCCTAGCTATTTTTTTTTTAATACTATAAACTATGTATCGGTAAGCCATTTCTTTTCTGAAATAAAAACGTAGCAGTACTGAAAAAAAAAGGCCTATATCGATATGCTATTTATAGATACTTAAGTGCCAGTTTTAATATTTAAATATAAGTCAGTCTAACCCTTTCCATCTTTTTGTCCTTAGTACCACGTGGGATTGACAGTTCAGCCTGAACTCTACCTTCTGAACACCGTGGATGCCGACTCACTTGTGTCTAGATGACTGACAGCCTGCGAAGACTGTATAAGAACCATTTTCTCGTAGTCCAAGTGCCCCTTAACATATCTCTGTTAGTTCAGAGGTGAGTTTTGTTCAAATGTTTTGAACAAAATGCAAAGATTTCCTCATGGGAAGACTGTTAAAAGCTGACAGCTGTTAAGTGTAGGTCAGAGACCCACCCACCTCACAACAGTCCTACAACAGCCGGGAGTTAATTGATGGGCCTGTGATGGCCACACACCCCTATGGGCTTGTGTCTTAACTCCTGGAATTTAAAAAAAAAAAAGTGTATGTATTTAAGTTGGCCTGAACATAACAGTTTGGGTAGAGTTTAAAGGTTATAAAAATAGATTTTTTGTATTTTAAAAAAACACATTGTTCAGACAAATCAGATATCTGTTTTATCTGGATCACAAGTGAGAAAGGAAAGGGAGTAACACTCTTTTTCAGAATGAACTGGTCCAAATGACTTCCCTTTTAAAGTGGTGCTTGGCTGTGGCCAGTTAAATTTCATTTCAGTTTTAATCAACCAGACCCTTAGTAACTAATGGTACTAGCACACCATTTCTAAAGAAAATATTTATCACATTTGGCAATCATATGTAATCCTAATTATCGGTATGCTTTATTATTTTCTTGAATTTTTTTTCAGAAGTATGATGGTATTTTCCAAAGAGCTTAATACCTAGTAACAAGATCCAGAAACCATACTTTAAAAAAAAATTGATTTGAGAGAGAGAAAAACATCTATCGGTTGCCTTTGCACCCACCCCAACTGGGGATTGAACCTGCAACCTGGGTATGTGCCCTGACTGGAAATCGAACCCACTACCTCTTGGTCTACAGGGCAATGCTCCAATCAACTGAACACACTGGCCACGGCCAGAAACCATACTTTAACCAATGATTATTTTTCCATGCTGCATTATGTAATGCAGCCCATTCTAACATTCAAGGTTTAGGTATAAAAATAAGAACCGTCTACTGTTTAACTTTGCAAGTCCCAACAAGATAATGGAGGTATTCGTTTTCTTTCTAAAATTTGTATAGTCCCACCATGTCTTTTCTTCCCACTTTTCCCATTAACAATCCAACATCATTTCTAGGTCCAAAGCTTGTTTCCAGGAGTGGCTTATATTTCTAATGTTGAATCTCCTAGGGAATGCTAAGCATTTTATTTCAGCGTATTTATACCAAGTAGTAATATGAGATTAGAACTAGACTGGCACTTGGAAGATTAGTCCACATGTCACAAACTGCCGGCCCACGTGTGGCTTATAGATTTTTTTGACTCCTCTTCCTAACCAGGATTGTTTTCCTTAAAATTTTTATAATAAAAATGTAATATTTAAAAATGGAAAGTTTTTGCATGATTATCTGTAAAATCAGAAGATTTTCAACACTGGGCTCACATTCCTGCCTGGGAGTGCAGTTGGCTGGATCTGAATGGCAGCTATCCATATATATATGTTTTTATCGACTTTAGTGAGAGAGAGGGAGAGGGAAGGAGGGAGAGAGGGAAAGAAACATCTATCGGCTGCTTCCTGCATGACCCCTACTGGGGATCAAACGGGCAACATTTAAAAAATATATTTTTATTCTTTCAGAGAGGAAGGGAGGGGGAGAGAGAGAGAAAAATCAATGATGAGAGAGAATCATTAATAGGCTGCCTCCTGCATGCCCCACACTGGGGATTGAGCCCACAACCCAGGCATGTGGCCAGACCAGGAATGGAACTGTGACCTCCTGGTTCATAGGTCGATGCTCAACCACTGAGCAACACTGGCTGGGGAAAACTGGCAACATTTTTTTTTATATTTTATTGATTTTTTACAGAGAGGAAGGGAGAGGGATAGAGAGTTAGAAACATCGATGAGAGAGAAACACCGATCAGCCGCCTCCTGCACACTCCCCACTGGGGATGTGCCCGCAACCAAGGTACATGCCCTTGACCGGAATTGAACCTGGGACCCTTGAGTCCGCAGGCCGACGCTCTATCCACTGAGCCAAACCAGTTAGGGCATGGCAACATTTTTGATGCATGAGACGACACTCAACTGAGCCAGGGCACAGCTGTCCATGTTTTATTTTTTGTTAATCCTCACCTGAGGATATATTTTCCATTGATTTTTAGAGAGAGTGGAAGGGAAGGAAAGAGGGAGGAAGAGAGAGAGAGACATCAATTGGTTGCCTCCCACACACACCCAATTGTGGCTGGGGATTGAACCTGCAAGCCCAGGTACATCCCCTTGACTGGGAAACAAACCCGAGACAACTCCGTGTGCTAGCCAGTGCTCTAACCACTGCAAACACCGGCCATGAGGGCTATTCATTTTAATGGGATATACTTCAGGGTGGATACACCCCTTCGCCCATTTCCTTCCAGCCCCAAAGGCATTGAGTTTGTAAACGCTGCAGCCTTTGTGTGACTTTGAGCATCATTTGCTTCCTTCAACATAAAAGTTAAATTTCTGACTTCTCTTATTTTAAAACTTAGTACCTTTCAATAAGACTTTTTAAAAATCTGAATAATTGCCTGTCTTCATTTATAGTGATTTGGCCATCTAAGATGGTATTTTAAAATCCCCTCATTTCTACTTCAGGGGCCCTTACAACTTCTGATACCAGCAGCAGCCTTGTAACCCAAATTAGAGTCCTTCCGATTTTAAAAATGAAACTGAATTAACATCAATTAGCAACTTTCACTTTAAAAAGAGACTTAAAATGAGTTTCACTGTTTTGGTTTCTTTATGCACAGATAGCAACTCAAAACAATTGGTTGCATTTTCTTTCCTCCTTGGACAATTTCATTTCCCAGCAGAAACATTCCAAGAGGATGTTTGGGAAAAGAAAAGAAAAGCCAAAAAAAATTTTTTTTGTTGTTTTGCAACTCATAAAACGATGAGGTGGTTGGTTAAACAGAGATTATATACTTGGAGGGTTTCTGTAGCTCTTCTTCATTCTTTAACTGTATATTACTAGGAATAGACTAGAGTTCATAAAAACTTAGAAAAGTTACCCTTCAGGTCCTATGACTCCTGTAATTAGAAAATTTGATAATAAAGCAAACGGAATCATGTTAAAACCAGTTGAAGAGATTGATGTCTAAAGGGTGAGTCTTGGGTAAACATTTTTGCTAAGTAAAGAACATTTAATCATTCTCTAGTTTATGATTTAAAAATCTGGATTTCTATATTATGTGCGTATACAGATAATATATTTAATTTGAAGAATAGCCTATGTATACACTCACTCAGTCCCTAGGGTTTAAGTCAGTTTGTAAAATGATGCTCTGGCATTGTATGCCCAGAATGTCAAAAAAATGCGATTAAATACAGTAGGTCCTCGGGTTACATCGGAGATCCGTTCCTACGGCGAGACATAACTCGATTTTCGCCACAAGTCGGAACCCACCTACATAAGCACCTACGTCACTCACTGTATATAACACATTACTGCTGTGTATGTGTCATAGAGCACATACACAGCAGTAATGAAGTAAAACAGTAAAAAAAATTTTAAAGATAACAATTCCTCACCTTTACTTGTGGTAAATAATAAAAAACATAAAGCACATATGTACATACATTGAAATGACGGAACTTTTTTTTAAATAAATAAATGGGAGATGGTGACGTAACCACGAAACAACGTACGTCGAGTCCAATGTAACCCGAGGACTGTCTGTAGTTGCTACAGAGCAGCTGCTGCTCCATAACTGTGTGTCACTTAATACAAAAGGCATTCATAAGTGAGGCATTAAGGCAGGGGTCCTCAAACTTTTTAAACAGGGGGCCAGTTCACTGTCCCTCAGACCGTTGGAGGGCCGGACTGTAGTTTAAAAAAAAACTATGAACAAATTCCTATGCACACTGCACATATCTTATTTTGAAGTAAAAAAACAAAACGGGAACAAATACAATATTTGTATTTGCATGTGGCCCGCAGGCCATAGTTTGAGGACCCTTGCATTAAGGTTTACAGTAGCCAATGAAAATACCCTTCTCAATTGTAAATATTATGACTTTAAGCCACCAAAGCTTTGCCCCAGAAGTATTGTGCAAATTCAGGTGCTGTATATTATCTATTCATAGGGTCTTCCTGCACTGGCCCTCCCTCTTTACCCAAGCTTATGTGGTAAATCAGAATCCTGCATACTTTTCTCCATGTGTGATAACATCATTGGTGAGTTCTCATGCATGGCTACTCTAATAAATAAATACTTTGCATTGCTTTTTTCAAGCAATAAATATATTACTTTAATTCTCTCAGTAAGATTAATTTTGGAACCTTCTGGGTTTTGTGGGGGAAAAAACATTTCTAATTAAACACTTCAGTTCATCTTTTTTTATATAAATATACTTTTATTGATTTCAGAGAGGAAGGGAGAGGGAGAAAGAGATGGAAACATCAATGATGTTTTCTGTCACTACAAAATAAAAAATTTTAAGTCAGAAAATCATGCTCTAGGTTCTGAAAGACATCATCAAGGATATTTTTGAGTTGACTATGATTACTGCTTTGGAAGTCAACTTCTTAAACAATTGAGACTTACTATACCAGACTGTGAAAACTCTAATACTTCTGCAGTACAATTTGCTACATATTGAAAATTCATTCTTCGTTATAGTTTTCAGAAGCCTTCTTGTATTTTTTTGTATGCAGCTTCATTTTTTGGACACATTGAAGAATCGAGGTCTAATGTAATCCTTATACATAGAATAGAGAACACCTAGAAACAAAAAGATGTATATCAATAGAGCATCCACGGGAACAAACACTGAATTTCTCTCACCTGCATTTTTTCAAAGCTAGCCCACAATTTAAAACAAACAAATCAACAAACAACACTTTCAATCTTAAAAAGTTTTGGCTTGGATTATACAAGTAGCTCCAGAAAACACACACACACACACACACACACACACACACACACACACACACACAACTAAGCCATTTGAGATTAGTATAAGTCTGAATTTAGGATGTTATGCCACCCTAAAGTTTGAATTTTAAAATATTGGTGAAAAAATTAGGAAAGTGAAAATATCTGGCTAGGTATTAAAATTAAAAATAATGGGCACCTCAATTTAGCAAACATCTATTCAGTGTCTGCTTTGCTCAGTATCCCGAGGGGAAAAAAAGGTGAATAGATCTAATCTCTGCTTGTAGGGATTTTCAGTCTAATGGGTGAACTAGCTATGAGTTTAGGCAGATGGGATAGGTGTGTATCTCCCATAATATGAGGTCCTCGGGTCATGCAGAAAGGCTGAAGTAGGAAAAGGGTGAGGACCAGAGGAGATGCTCCAGTGAATTCCAGGGATGTCAGCAGATGTTTATACCCAAAGCAAGTTAAGGAGTCAGATTTAAACTACAACTCATCCCCCCTCTTGTCCATAGCAATATCAAGGCATCACCTATCTCATAGATTGTCTAAACTAAATCCTTTGCTGCAGTTTCCTTCCCCTTTCTTTCTGACCTTGCTTGTTAATATCTTTAAAGAGTGCATAGAAGATAAAGGGTCAGGAGGTTAGTTGTTCTTATCTCAGCATGATAGCTAGGTGAGGCAGATGTCTGCACAATTTTCTAAAGAAATAGTATGATAGCTATCATTTATATATATAAAAAGCCAGCGACTGTAACAGCCATAATGACCTGTTGCTATGACGCCCACTGTGGCCAGCAAACCGCCCGATCAGGGAATGGGGCTGGCTGGCCAACCTCAAGGCCCCTCCCTGCTGCCAGCCTCCCCCTGATCGGACTTTCCCACCCTGATCAAGAGTGGGGCGGCTGGCCAAACACCCCCTTTCTTCCCCCAAATCAGCCAGCCCCACCATGATAGGCCCGCAGCCCCTCCCCCCAGCTGCCCTGCCCCTGATCACACCCCCCCACCCCAATAGGGGGTGGGGCTGGGTGGCCAACCTCCTGAAGCCCCTCCCCCTGTCCACCCCACCCCTGATCACACCCCCCAACCCCAATAGGGGGTGGGGCTGGGTGGCCAACCTCC